TTGCTATGGAGCGCAATTATGCAAACTATAGCTATAACATACAAATATGATTTTTACGTTTGCTAAACCTAAAATTTACTCTTTTAAATTTTTATGTTTGCTATATGTGAAAGTTGTTCAAAAATATATCAGATAAAATGTGACAAGGGAGTACAAATTATACCTTTCTATAACAACATTCTTAACATCACCTTACTTACAAAAATCAAATTTGTTTCTCGTAGTCATATTTTATGTCTATAATTTTTTTCTTACTTGTAACAACAACAACCATCTTTATAACAATATATTTTTTTGTAAAATTACTTTTCTATAACATAATAATTAACAATTTTTTTTATAGAAATGAAATCTCTAAGATTATTAATAATAGGTTTACAAATTTTGACCAACTAATTTGATACTTCAGTGCATTATTATGACAAAGAATATTATTATATGAATATATATTTCCATTAAATATAATGGACTACGAAGAAATGATGCTATAACCACTTACCAAACGAAACAGACATGATTTGCTAATTTACGGATATGCGTGTGGAGCAATCCGGGTTTAGATACGTGTGAGATAGGGTGGGGCGGATTTAAATATAGGAAAAACTACCTATCTAGACATACTTTACTATCATATATATAGATTTTACCTCTAGTTTAAAAATATTACATATAATACCACTTTTTAATAATTATACCATATTTTAAAAAAAGTTAAATTAGATACACAATCCCCTTAAATATGGTTTATAATAATTATCTTAAAAGTATATCTCCTTAATTAATGTGACTTTAACAATTCAAATTACTTCCTCTCTCTCCACACCATCAGCCCACTCCCCCACGTTATTCACTGTTTACACACATCTACCATTACCCCCCTTCTTTCTCAACCATTTCAATACATGTTTTGTCACACACATCTACCATTATCCCTTTCTTCCTCAAGCATCTCAATACATGTTTCCATGTACTAAATTCATAATCAATTCTCTATAATCAACATTATATAAATAGGTAAAGTAAGATTTTGTTTAGTTATTTCGAGATATTGTATTGTAACTTTGTTCTTATCATGTTAATGTATTTAATTCGAAGCTCTAATTCTTTTAAAGTTCGATTTTAGAATTTTTACATTGTTTGAATCTATTAGTTCTCCATACTTTTTAATGGATGAAAATTTACACTATCATTAATTTCGTATAACGATTTGACTTTTTTATTTTTTTTGGATTAATGATAAGACAAATAATCTACACTCGTGATTTATTCTTAAGTTCATGCGGTTTAATTACATTCCATATTTAGATACATACAATTATATGTATATGCTTACTATGTATCCGAGATACATGTTCTTGAATATGATGTATGAAATTGATACTTGATACATCAGATTAATACTAGATACATATAAAAGATACATGAAATTAAAATTAGATCATATAATTAATAGATACATGAAATTAATATTAGGTTAGATAAATAGATACTGCTAATGAATTTATTATTTTAGAGTAATAAAATGAATTAGTCAAATTAAATGACCAAGATATACATGTTTTTTGTCTTTTATTAATAATATTAATGAAATTATTATTTCAAAGAATAGTAAAAAAAAAAATTAAATTAAAACATAATATACACTACTTGATTTCCGTCTTATATTAAGGGATTTGATTAATTTAAAATTTCTAAATTAATTGTCCATGTATTTTGAAAATCTGAAAATCCTCAATGATTCCTCTAATTAAGGAAATCAGTTACAACCAATTAATTTAAACAAATAAAATACGTATCTTGATTTTAA